ACACTAATCCCTGCAACACACATCAGTGTTAGTGTACACTAAACCCTGCAACACACACCAGTGTTAGTGTGCACTAATCCCTGCAACACACACCAGTGTTAGTGTGCACTAATCCCTGCAACACACACATCAGTGTTAGTATACACTAATCCCTGCAACACACACCAGTGTTAGTGTGCACTAATCCCTGCAACACACACCAGCGTTAGTGTGCACTAATCCCTGCAACACACACCAGTGTTAGTGTACACTAATCCCTGCAACACACACCAGTGTTAGTGTACACTAAACCCTGCAACACACACCAGTGTTAGTGTGCACTAATCCCTGCAACACACACATCAGTGTTAGTATACACTAATCCCTGCAACACACACCAGTGTTAGTATACACTAATCCCTGCAACACACACCAGTGTTAGTGTGCACTAATCCCTGCAACACACACCAGTGTTAGTGTGCACTAATCCCTGCAACACACACCAGTGTTAGTGTACACTAATCCCTGCAACACACACCAGTGTTAGTGTGCACTAATCCCTGCAACACACACCAGTGTTAGTGTACACTAAACCCTGCAACACACACCAGTGTTAGTGTGCACTAATCCCTGCAACACACACCAGTGTTAGTGTACACTAATCCCTGCAACACACACCAGTGTTAGTGTGCAGTAATCCCTGCAACACACACCAGTGTTAGTGTGCAGTAATCCCTGCAACACACACCAGTGTTAGTGTGCACTAAACCCTGCAACACACACCAGTGTTAGTGTGCACTAATCCCTGCAACACACACCAGTGTTAGTGTGCACTAATCCCTGCAACACACACCAGTGTTAGTGTACACTAATCCCTGCAACACACACCAGTGTTAGTGTGCACTAATCCCTGCAACACACACCAGTGTTAGTGTGCACTAAACCCTGCAACACACACCAGTGTTAGTGTACACTAATCCCTGCAACACACACCAGTGTTAGTGTACACTAATCCCTGCAACACACACCAGTGTTAGTGTACACTAATCCCTGCAACACACACCAGTGTTAGTGTGCACTAATCCCTGCAACACACACCAGTGTTAGTGTGCACTAATCCCTGCAACACACACCAGTGTTAGTGTGCACTAATCCCTGCAACACACACCAGTGTTAGTGTGCACTAAACCCTGCAACACACACCAGTGTTAGTGTGCACTAATCCCTGCAACACACACCAGTGTTAGTGTGCACTAAACCCTGCAACACACACCAGTGTTAGTGTAGACTAATCCCTGCAACACACACCAGTGTTAGTGTACACTAATCCCTGCAACACACACCAGTGTTAGTGTACACTAATCCCTGCAACACACACCAGTGTTAGTGTACACTAATCCCTGCAACACACACCAGTGTTAGTGTACACTAAACCCTGCAACACACACCAGTGTTAGTGTGCACTAATCCCTGCAACACACACATCAGTGTTAGTATACAAAAATCCCTGCAACACACACCAGTGTTAGTGTACACTAAACCCTGCAACACACACCAGTGTTAGTGTGCACTAATCCCTGCAACACACACATCAGTGTTAGTATACAAAACTCCCTGCAACACACACCAGTGTTAGTGAACACTAATCCCTGCAACACACACCAGTGTTAGTGTGCACTAAACCCTGCAACACACACCAGTGTTAGTGTGCACTAAACCCTGCAACACACACAACAGTGTTAGTGTGCACTAATCCCTGCAACACACACCAGTGTTAGTGTGCACTAATCCCTGCAACACTAACCAGTGTTAGTGTGCACTAAACCCTCCAACACACAACACACACCAGTGTTAGTGTGCACTAAACCCTGCAACACACACCAGTGTTAGTGTGCACTAATCCCTGCAACACACACCAGTGTTAGTGTGCACTAAACCCTGCAACACACACATCAGTGTTAGTATACAAAAATCCCTGCAACACACACCAGTGTTAGTGTAGACTAATCCCTGCAACACACACCAGTGTTAGTGTACACTAATCCCTGCAACACACACCAGTGTTAGTGTACACTAATCCCTGCAACACACACCAGTGTTAGTGTACACTAATCCCTGCAACACACACCAGTGTTAGTGTACACTAAACCCTGCAACACACACCAGTGTTAGTGTGCACTAATCCCTGCAACACACACATCAGTGTTAGTATACAAAAATCCCTGCAACACACACCAGTGTTAGTGTACACTAAACCCTGCAACACACACCAGTGTTAGTGTGCACTAATCCCTGCAACACACACATCAGTGTTAGTATACAAAAATCCCTGCAACACACAACAGTGTTAGTGTGCACTAATCCCTGCAACACACACCAGTGTTAGTGTGCACTAATCCCTGCAACACTAACCAGTGTTAGTGTGCACTAAACCCTGCAACACACAACACACACCAGTGTTAGTGTGCACTAAACCCTGCAACACACACCAGTGTTAGTGTGCACTAATCCCTGCAACACACACCAGTGTTAGTGTGCACTAAACCCTGCAACACACACCAGTGTTAGTGTACACTAAACCCTGCAACACACAATGTCGAACACCCGAGAGTGTGTGTCGAACACCTGAGAGTGTGTGTGTGTGTGTGTGTGTGTGTGTGGAACACCTGAGAGTGTGTGTGTGTGTGTGTGTGTGTGTGTGTGTGTGTGTGGAACACCAGAGAGTGTCTGTGGGTGTGTGTGGAACACCAGAGAGTGTCTGTGGGTGTGTGTGGAACACCAGAGAGTGTGTGTGTGTGTGTGTGTGTGTGTGTGTGGAACACCTGAGAGTGTGTGTGTGTGTGTGTGTGTGTGTGTGTGTGGAACACCTGAGAGTGTGTGTGTGTGGGTGTGTGTGGAACACCTGAGAGTGTGTGTGTGTGTGGAACACCTGAGAGTGTGTGTGTGTGTGTGTGTGTGTGGAACACCAGAGAGTGTGTGTGGGTGTGTGTGTGTGGAACACCTGAGAGTGTGTGTGTGTGTGTGTGTGTAACACCTGAGAGTGTGTGTGTGTGTGTGTGTGTGTGTGTGGAACACCAGAGAGTGTGTGTGGGTGTGTGTGTGTGGAACACCTGAGAGTGTGTGTGTGTGTGTGTGTGTAACACCTGAGAGTGTGTGTGTGTGTGTGTGTGTGGAACACCAGAGAGTGTGTGTGTGTGGGTGTGTGTGGAACACCTGAGAGAGTGTGTGTGTGTGTGTGTGTGTGTGTGTGTGTGTGTGGAACACCTGTGAGTGTGTGTGTGTGTGTGTGTAACATCTGAGAGTGTGTGTGTGTGTGTGTGTGTGGAACACCAGAGAGTGTGTGTGTGTGGGTGTGTGTGGAACACCTGAGAGAGTGTGTGTGTGTGTGTGTGTGTGGAACACCTGAGAGTGTGTGTGTGTGTGTGTGTGTGGAACACCAGAGAGTGTGTGTGTGTGTGGGTGTGTGTGGAACACCAGAGAGTGTGTGTGTGTGTGGGTGTGTGTGGAACACCTGAGAGTGTGTGTGTGTGTGTGTGTGTGGAACACCAGAGAGTGTGTGTGTGTGGGTGTGTGTGGAACACCTGAGAGAGTGTGTGTGTGTGTGTGTGTGTGTGTGTGTGTGTGGAACACCTGAGAGTGTGTGTGTGTGTGTGTGTGTGTGGAACACCAGAGAGTGTGTGTGTGTGGGTGTGTGTGGAACACCTGAGACAGTGTGTGTGTGTGTGTGTGTGTGTGTGGAACACCTGAGAGTGTGTGTGTGTGTGTGTGTGTGTGTGTGTGTGGAACACCTGAGACAGTGTGTGTGTGTGTGTGTGTGTGTGTGTGTGGAACACCTGAGAGAGTGTGTGTGTGTGTGTGTGTGTGTGTGGAACACCTGAGAGTGTGTGTGTGTGTGTGTGTGTGGAACACCAGAGAGTGTGTGTGTGTGTGGGTGTGTGTGGAACACCTGAGACAGTGTGTGTGTGTGTGTGTGTGTGTGTGGAACACCTGAGAGTGTGTGTGTGTGTGTGTGTGTGTGTGTGGAACACCAGAGAGTGTGTGTCGAACACCCCACCTGAGAGTGTGTGTCGAACACCCCACCTGAGTGTGTGTGGAACACCTGAGAGTGTGTGTCGAACACCCCACCTGAGTGTGTGTGGAACACCTGAGAGTGTGTGTCTCACACACACCTCCACATCTCCAGTCCATCACAGTTTACATGGAAATCAATCAGTGGTCTTGCCTTACACACTTTGAACTGTACCAGATTCCCCTGACAGAGCGAGTCGAAACAGCAGGACAGCAAACATTGGTCTTATCGCGTGTCATTGGCGTTTACTCTTTAGACAGTGCAGATAGAAGAGTTGGAAGATAAGATTCTCAGAAGTATCAAAGGGACTTCAGTAGCCGTTCACTCTCACTAACGTGTGCCTGGAATGAAGAAGCGTTTACAGGAATCTCTACTGTTACTGCATTGCTTTAGTGGAGCTGTATCCTCAGATCCCTCCTCTAACCTCGTCCGCACACCTTCACTGTGGACACATCTACACACACTCTTAAAGGGGGCGTCGGATGCCCATTTTCCACAAGTTGGTGTGATTCTTTAGGGTGTTCATGTTAAGTTTGTAACATACTTTGGTCAAAATTCATCAATGGTTGTGTAAAACAACACACTCTTTATCTCCTCAAACACAGCGGCTCGTCCACACACTGCTGAGACACATGTATATGCAAACCATATAAAAATGAATTTTGCATCCGATGACCCCTTTAAGGCGGGCTTTCTCTCTTTCTCTGGCCTTTCCAGATGTTTCCTCGCCTCCAGCGGGGAACAACACACACACACACCATGAGCCATGTTTTCTCTAATCCCATATGAATAACATGAAGGTAAAGCTAATAAATAAAGAGAGTCGCTCTCGAAGTAGATTTATCATGAAGGATTTGAACTGGTGATAAATGTGCTATCAAGGAAACCCCTTGCACTGAACATCATGCATTGGTTTGTTTTGAACGGCTCATGAAGAGTAAAGCGCTCTTACCCCGACCCGGAGTGTGTACGCGTACTCCGCCAGTAGCGTAGGGCTAATGATGCGCCACTTGTGTTTGGTTTTCTTGAAGTGTGGATCCGGAAAGAGAAAGAACATCTTACTGAGCTGCAAAAAACAAACAAATGACAGCAAAATGTTACCTGTGATTTGTGGGATTGTACAGTATCCTATTCTTACTATTTTAACCAAATCTTTCTATGGCAGTAATAGTGAGAGTAGTTTGCTATTAGTTAACCATTTTGAAAGTGTAGTTTCTTAAAACTACAAACTTCTCATCATTTAAAATGGTTAAAGTCCAGAAATCTTGTCTTCAGCGCTGTGCTCGAGAAGAAACTGTGATGGAGCATTTGTCACGTTAAATTAGCTTGTTGCTGTAGAATTCACAAACGAATAAGCTGAACTACTGCAACACTTCAGCCGCTCGCAGCGCCACCTTGTGCTCTGGAGGAGGAAACGCTCAAACTTTGAAACATGTTATAATCTCCGACTGAGTCCTATAGCTAGCCGTCTTCAACGTAGGGTTAATTTTGTCAGCTACTTTTTAATTTAGCCTTAGTCCTGTCACTGTGTCAAATGCCATTTTTAGCTTTTATCATATTTGTCAACCTATCCTGGTTTTGTTTAGTCAAGTTTTAGGGGCCATTTACACAACACCGTTTTCAACTAAAAGCGGAAGTTTTTTTAACCCTCTGGGGTCTGAGGTGTTTTCGGGGTCCTTGAGATGTTTTGGCATGCTCTGACATTTGTGCTTTTTTCAGTTGCTTATAAACATATTAATGGCACAGGTGAAATTACACTCTATATAGCACACACAGGGCTACCATAATATGTGAGCAACATGTATGTACATGTTTGTATTTTTGAGAGAATATTGTTTATGCGTGGTTATTGAAAAAAATAAAAAATAAAGTTTATAATATAAGGCCACAAATAACATACTAAATATTTGTCCACAAGACTTTTGACTAGTGGATGTTATCGCCTAGAGTTTTTGCTTCAAATTGATCTGAAAATCATTCTGCCTTATCATTCACATAAAACAATAGATTGTTTTAAATTGTGAAAAACATTTTTTTGCTTGCAAAGGCAATATGCGGATGGACGGAACGGCCCAACCCCCTCATGAATAATTAGGCAGTTCTCACCTGAGCAGTCTGCATACTAATGAGCCTTTCAATCAGGGGTGTCACACAAGAAAGAATGCAAGGACAATATATATACACTACCGTTCAAAAGTTTGGGGTCAGTGAGAATTTTATTTTTATTTTTTGGAGGAAAGAAAACAATACTTTTATTTATCAAGGAATAATTAATTTGATCGAAAGTGACAGTAAAGACATTTATAATGTTACAAAAGTCTTTTGAACTTCCTATTCATCAAAGAATCCTAAAACAAACAAAAAACTGTACAACTGACAGACCAACAACTGTTTCAACATTGATAATAATAATAAATGTTTCTTGAGCATCAAATCCTCATATTATACTGATTTGTGAAGGATCATTTGACACTGAAGACACTGACACTGGTGATGCTGAAAAATCAGCTTTGATCACAGGAATAAATTACACTTTACTATATATTCACACAGAAAACAGCTGATTTACACTGGAGATAATATTTAATACTATAACTGATTTTTGTTGTATTTTTAATCAAATAAGCGCAGCCATGGTTAGCAGAAGAGAATTCTTTTAAAAGTATTTAAAATCGTACCGACCCCAAACTTTTGAACGGTAGTGTATATGAATAAATAAATGTTTATACACACACATATATATATATATATATATATATATATATATATATACAAACAATCAAAATTTAAATGAAAGCCAAAAGCACATTTATAGTCACACCTTTTAGCCATCCACATACCATTTTTAGCCATCCACCGCGGTAAAAATAAACCAGTCGCATTGCAAAGTCGTTCGCGAAATGACCGCCAGGTGGCGCAAAGGGACATTTAGCAAAACGTAAGTGGGGCTAATGTCTATTAACAGTAGCCTAAGGATGAAATACTACAAGTTATGGTAATTTCCAAATAAGCCTACAACAAATTGTTGGTCATACAGATAAGATATAATCTTTTAAAACTTTAAAAGGCTAAAGTAGGCCTACACTCTCACAGGCTAAAGACAAAACGTTTTCTCGCTCATGTCAGAAACAGACGTTTGGGTATTTCTCAGTGAGAAAATTCATAGCTGAGCGGTAGAACTTACGGTTCATCATCAAGATGACGGGTTCAAATCCCGCACAAACATGGTCTGCTGTAAATTTTATATTTATTATTGCAAAGAGATTTGTCTAGCTCTAAAACTCTGTTACACCATACAGTTTTTTTTTTTTTTGCTTATATTTATAAAATACAATTATCATGCATTTCCATTTCACACTAAGTAAAAATACAAAAAAACAAAATAGTATCCAACAGAACGACTTTGCATCTGTATAATAATAGGCTACCAATCGTAATTTCAAAAGCAGTTCTGTAAAAAAATAAATTATATATAGGCTATATATATATTTTTTTTTTATTCCAGGCTCTCATGCCACACCCCCGATTTCTCACGCTGAAGTGTCAACCCGGTCGGTCAAATTCCTGAAGGATATAGTTTATCTATAGATACCTGTTGAGCCACTCGTGATCGACTAGTTATTATACCGCAAATTAGTTAAAATATCCCGTAATCTATCTAGAGCGAGCGTGCATGCGAGACAGATATTCTGCTCCAAACCGTGCGCGCGCATGGCAGAGAGGTCTGTTCCCTACAACCTAGAGTTTTTAAAAACATGGTTTTAAGTAAAGTGTGATTTGCCAGGGGGGATTGTGATTTCCTTCTGGTCTAAACATCCCTGCTTCTGCTGAATTATTTTAATCCCCACACCCCTCCCTCCACAGCTAATCAATGCTATAGGCTACTTCACCAATATCAAATATATAAAATAGAGATATGCAAGAGGCACGTTTAAACGACAAACAATAAAATCAAAACCAGCGTTTCAGTTGTTCATTAGTTCCAGTGGCCTTAATGCATGCACGGCTTTTCAAATTTCACAAAGCGTGTTGAGATTATTTTGAATGAAATATTGAAGTTTATAATTAAGTGTTTTGGCACACCACGCCGAGTGGCCCTATGCATTTTTCTTAAGTCGGGTTTTATTCTGGCATGGTGAGTTAGTGTTCGACAAACACGGCGGCGCGTTCATTTAGATTAATTTATTTTTCTCATTATTACAGCTAAAATAACTTAGTAGGCGACTCCGTAATTTTTTGGTCATACAGATAAGAGTAGAGTAGCTTTCATCGTTCAAAACTGTAAACTTGTATTCATATTAGGCTAACGACAAAAACAGTATAGGCTATCTGTCGTCTCTGTCTCCGGGAACTGCGCGTCACAAAAATGAACCGAAAGCCACTTCAGCTCAGTCACGATAAGAAATCGGCTATGTCTAAAGCCTTTAAATGTCTAAATATTTAGGCTAATAAATGTTATCTGATTATAGGCTAATCCATATGAAAACTAGAGGAACAGAGGATCTACTCAAACATGCAATGTAAGCGCTTCCCAATGAGAAAATGACAAGACAAGGGTGAAAATCTCGCTCTAATTAAATGTAGGCTAAATCGCCCTGAATTAAAATGTAAAAACAGATCAAATAATGTATTTGTCGAAATGTTGCGATATTGTTTCATTTAAGTTCATAATTACTCTATAAATGTTATTTAATTTAGCAGCATTACCACGAAGCACCGTGTTTCGATATTTATTTGAATAATACAAAATCAAATAAAAACTTAATTCACAAATTGCATGCCTGGTTGTAAGGATCCAAAGATCCCTGTAGAATTTAATATTGAGTTGAACATTTTGTTCATGACAACAAATTAACAAGCGTTTTTTCAGATTATATTTAGTTTTGCTTGGAAAAAGCTGCCCCAAACCAGTTTTATTTCATCAATTATTGAAATAATGAAATATTTAGTAATAAACTTTTATGACAGAAATATCACTAGGCTACATGTAATTCCATTTAATTCCTTCATTATCAACACTGTCTAGAATAGCGATTTAAGTGTGAATTGCGACTTCTCTTTCTGTTAAGTCAGCCTCAGACTCAGATAGCCTGTGGGGGGTTGGAGGGACAGTTGCTGAACAAAGGTGTTAATGTTCCTCTTTCATATGGAGACTGTCGGATAGCCAGCCTGATGAGCAGGCAAAATTATTGTAAGGATAAATCTGTGTCCAAATGTAGGCCCCATATTTTATACAAATTTATAATAGTAGTTTTAGTATATTATAAATATTGTAGTTTATTTATTGTAGCCTATTTAAAGTTTTTTTTCACACAAAATTTCAATTGAAGTTATTGTACGGTGAATTCAACAAGGCATGCTGTGTCTTTGAAGCAACAATTAAAGGCTAAATAATTTTTCCGTGATTTGTATGGCTGACACGCAGCGACATATACAGTAGTATTATCAGAGCGAGGGAGACTAAATAAACTTGTTAAAAAGAGATCCAGCGCGAGAGAGGCAAAGAGAAACGCATGTTTTTAATTTAAATATGTTTCTTTGGACAATTTTCGTTTTGTACTGTTTTAATTGTTTAATTTAGCTGTAATTTCTTTGGCAATACGAATTTAAAATGTCGCAAGAATAAGATTAGCCTAGTGTTTCTTATTTTGCATCGCAAAAGAAATAAACTCTAAACCGATGCAACCCTGTTTTAAATTAAAAAAAAAACTGTCCCGACACTTTATTTAAACCTTGAAATGTTCGAACTTGGTTTCAAACATTGAAATTTTTGTGTTCTTTTACATTACACAATAATTTAGCAGACTAAAGACGAGCTTCTTCTTTTTCATTTTCTGATGCAATCGGCTGACAATCTTCCTTCATCAGTTTTTGTCGTTTGTGCAGCGGCTGCGGTTCTACAGGAATGTAGCAAATTTATGTTGTAATGATAATCAAACAAAACTCTTGACTTTAAATAAGTAAACAGATATAAACAGTTACCCATTTAAGCATCAAGGTGGGAAAATATAAACGTAGGACAACATCGGTTAACAACATGTATGCTACATTGAGATTCGATCTCGG